ATTGATAATCGTGCTACTTGTGAAGATTATGCTATTGGATAATAAAACTGGTACTCTTGAGATAGTTGACATAATGCCGGGGGCGGAGATGAAGGTTGTGAGGGAGAGCCCGACGTTGACTATTGTTAGGTTTAAGGCGGGGAGCGGGGAGCCGGCGCATCACCATAGTTTCGGGCACGACGTGATGGTGATGAAAGGGAGGAAGAGGGTTTGGAACCTGGGGAAGAAGGAGAGCTATGAGTTGGGGGAGGGGGATTATTTGTATACGCCGGCGGGGGATGTGCATAGGGTGAAGTATTTCGAGGATACGGAGTTCTTCATAAGGTGGGATGGGGATTGGGATATAGTTTTGGATGAGGATTTGGAGACGGCGAGGTCCGAGGCTGACAGGGAGCTTGGACTTGGAGAGGGAGGGGGGAGCAAATGAGGTAAAATGTGTTCAGTGATAGCTGGGCATGCTTTTGTTGTTGTTGTTGTTGGATGATAGAAGTATGAGCTTTGCTAGTGTCGGTTTGCTCGTCTTAAGTCTCCTTGTTGAATGAAGGATGCCCTGGACTTGTTTCTTTCTTTATGGGAAAATATTGGTAGTATTAGATGTTTAGGACTCATCTGTAAATAACTTCCTTCTTGGGTAAATGCATGTTGTTGATCATGGGTCAATTGGTCGCCAGATTGTTACTAATTGGTGTACTGTTTAGGTGCCCATTTGGTTCACCACAGTTATAACCGTAAGGGTTTTTTTTAAAAAAGATTTTTTTTTGCTAAATAATTAGCAAAACCGACCGTTTTGCTAATTATTTAGCAAAAACGACCTATTTTTAGCCAACAGGCCAAAAAGAGACCGTTTTTAAAAAATTGCGTATTCGAAACATACAGGACCCGTATGTTTAGTCGTCACTAAATGGCGACTAATAATCGCGCTCAAAATCTACGGGACTACTAGTCCCGATCTACGGGACTACTAGTCCCGTAGATTTTGGCCGGCTTCACAAAACATACGGGGTCACAGTGGGCCTTGTGGAGGTCGAGGTCGGGGTGGGAGGTGAACTTGCGGTTACAATGGAAGCGGTTCTTGAGGATCTGGTCGGCGAGGGACTGGCGACAGTCGAAGGGCTAGAAGGAGGAGGACATGTCGTGGGCGAAGGAGTCGATCTTATCGTCACGGGAGTCAGATAGGATCTAGACGGAGAGGGGGGCGAGGAGGGAGCGACGGGGGGAGGAGAAGAGGTTGAGAAGGTGGTAGACTACGTTGAGGGGGTCGTTGAGGTCGGGGGTCGCGAGGCGAGAAAGGAGGGGAGGGTGTCGAGGTCCACGGCGCCTGGTCTGAGTTGGGCATGAAGGTGAGTGATATGGAAGAGTGAGGTTGTCGACTGGAGTTGGTCGCTGGCGGAGGACGGTCAGGAGGGCGACAAAGGATGGGAGTTGAAGGGGTCGGTGCGGTCGAGCGAATCCACCGCGAACGGTGGATAGGTGCAGGGACATGGGAGTATTGATTGCATCACTACCTCACCTCTCACCACTGCTAGCAGGTATTTGCGTTAAAAGTTGGGCGGAGCATTGATTGGGTTTCAATTCAAGTGATGAGCAGCTAGCAGCGGAGTGTTGATTGCGATAAAAAATAGATGAGCTCTGAGACCGAGTGGAGCCCAAAACTGTTGGGAATTTAACGCCTAAACCCCTAATTGCAACGGAAACGCGGTATAGAAAAGTACACCAAGATTTAACGAGGTTCGGCAACTGCCTACGTCCTCGGGAGCCACACAGATAATTTCTTATTAATTAAACAAGAAATTACAATTTAGGAGCGTATCTCAAAACTGAGATTTCTCAGATAAACACTGTAGCTACAGTGTTAATAATCAAAGGGTATGAACCCTTTCAATTCTCACTTGAGAATAAATACCCCACAATAAAAAACCCTCTTTAATTTTCTCTCTCTCTCTTCTTAAATCCCCTCAACTACTGTTGAAGATTGGGATTAAAATCGCTGCTGCGATTTGGGGTTCTGCTATTTGGGTTTTCCGCCGCCGCCAGGGAGAGAAACGAAAGAGGGAGAAGAAGCTTCAGCCGCGCCAGAGAAACCCTAGGCTGGAAGGGGGTTTTATAGGGAGAGTTGATGGGCTGGCGACAGCCTGTCGCCAGCGACCGCTTGGACGCCAATGTCGAGGCCGAACGCAGAGGTCGAACGAAGAACGCTGAGGTCGACGAACGCAGAGATGAAGGGGGGTCGAACGCACAGCAAAGGGGGAGGTTCGAACGCAGAGTTCGAGGTCTGCGTTCGCCCGAAGTTTGCGTCTGATCTCCTCAACTCACCTGTTCGAAGTCGCCTGGAGATCGCCAAATCGAGCTCGCCTGCTCGAAAGCTTGCCGGAGCTCTTCGTCGCCGGAGGTGAGTTTGATCTACACCTATTTCAACAATCAACCTACGGGACTAGTAGTCCCGTAGGTTTTGTGGCGTCGTGTTAATCGCTAATTAATGGCGATAAACATACGACACTGCTAGCCCCGTATTTTTTGAATACACGGTTTTTTAAAAACGACATTTTTTGGCTTGTTGGCCAAAAAAAGGTCGTTTTTAATAAATAATTAGCAAAACGGTCGGTTTTGCTAATTATTTAGTAAAAAATGTATTTTTTTAAAAAAAATCCCTAACTGTAAGTGTCAAGAGCACAGAACAACATTGGTGTGTAGTTGTAAATGTTTGATTGAGCTTTGCGACTCACATGTTTGTTTTGGGATAAGAAGCTTGGAAGTAGCAAATGAGGGTTTGTTTTGGGATAAGGAGCTTGGAAGTAGCAAATGAGGATGGATAGATGGAGTAAGTGTTCTGTGATTTTTGGTATGTTAAATGTTGTGTTATTGTTGCTGTGGTAACCAAATGAGGTAGATGTTCTTGTTGCTGTGTGTATGTACATGCAGTTCATTATCATTTGCTCGAAATGAACTAAAATTTACAAAAGTCACAGGCTATATAGTCGGTAAAAATCTCAAATTTTGATGTGCACATACCTAATTGTCATAAAAATTAACATATACATACTTAATTACCATTTGGTCGAAACTAACAAAGTTTGGAAAAAATCACAAATTTTGATGAGCTAAAACCCATGGTTATATTTCATGAAAATAAAAAATTTTGATGTACGCATACTTTAATTTTGAACTTGTTGAACCTCGTAAAAATCATTGTTTTTGTGTTTGTGTTTCATTGATTGGTTATTTGTTTCTGCTTATTTTATTTCGTCGCAAAACTTTTTTTTAAAATAACCTTGTTTTCGATGCAACCCTATTTTAACAAACCCACCTCTCAAAAAAAGGGAAAAAAAAGAAAAAAAAGACCCCCCCCCCCCCCCCACCATAAAAAGAAAGAAAGAAAGAAAGAAAAGAAAAAACTTTACTAGATCCTTATAGGCAGGTGATAGTTTGCTTTGATTTGCTTGCTTCTTCTTCTTCTTGAGGATAAAAGGATGAACTTTGCTATTGTTTTCGGTGCAATTTGCTTGCGTTAGTTGCCTTGTTGAATAAAGCATGCCCTGATGTTGTTTCTTGATGAAAATTATTGGTACATGTTTAACTTTCTTGTTGGATAAATGTATATTGATCACGATTCAAACGTTACTAGATCATTACAACTTTGCAATTGCAATTGTAATTTTAGATGTTTATTTTGAGATAAGAAGCTTTGAGGAAGCAAACTAGGATGGGTAAATGGAGGTAATAGTCTCATGATAGTTTGTTATGTTTGTTGCTGCTTACGTATTGTTCGTGTTCTTATTATTGGTATCATGAATAATTGAAGTTATTCTGAATTAAAATGTTGGCAGTAATTGACTCTTAACTAGTTGTTTCCATTGTTTTCTTTCTTTCTCGTTAGAGAAATATGTTCCTGGCGAGTCAAAAATGTTGCTAGATGAATGTGTTTGGTTATCTGCAGTAGGAAACACCCCTTTGTTGTTTTAACTACAATGACTGGAGACGTAATCAAATGTTTGAACAACATGCTTTTCTGCCTACAATCATCAAACTACTGAAAAAATAACTTAATCGTTGTTTATCTATGTTTAGATGGTACATATTTTATACTAAATATTAACGGAAAATAGCTAACCTGATCTTTAAGACACAATAAAAATGCTGATGTGGTTCGCTGAGCCGAAATCGCCTGTGTAGCGTTCCAACCCTTCATCTTGGGAAGCTGCATGCTCATCCGCCTCTCCAAATACAAGAAGGACTTTCAGCCTGTGTCCGAAGAATTTCAATGAGTTTATTGAGTTTGAGATAAGAGAAGAACAGAAAAAAGAAACGTGTAGGAAATTAAAAGCTTA